TCATGACCGACATTTGCGAGACGCTCGAAAACATGAACCGCGCGCTCGTGGAGGAGAACGGGCTGCGGGCGGCGACGCCTAGATGCGAGACACACACACTCCTGTGCTGCATGCGCGCTCGAGAAGTCACGCATTCAGCTGTATTGAACTGCATTGCACCCCCAGTTCGTCTCGAAGCACCGAAAGCGGTAAGCTCTCGGACCCGCGCCCTGACAGTCGTGTGCTCACACAGTGCTCTCACACTAGGCGGGGATCGCCTTCCCGACAGGGTGCTCGATCAACCACGTCGCCGCGCACTGGACGCCTAACTCGGGCGACAAGACCGTGCTGCAGCACGGCGACGTCTGCAAGATCGACTTTGGGACGCACGTCAACGGCCGGATCATCGACTCGGCCTGGACGGTCCACTTTGACCCGACGTTCGACCCGCTGGCGGCGGCGGTCAAGGAGGCGACGAACACGGGCATCGCGGCGGCCGGCATCGACGCGCGGCTGTGCGACATCGGCGCCGCCGTCCAGGAGGTGATGGAGTCGCACGAGGTTGAGATTGGCGGTAAGACCTTTCCGGTCAAGTGCATCCGCAACCTCAACGGGCCTCCGCCCGGGGCTGCTCGCCGACTCCTCGCGGCGACGCGCGCCCGACGCGTCGGTGGGCGGATGCTGTAGGCACTCGATCGGGCCGTACCAGATCCACGCAGGCAAGAGCGTCCCCATCGTCAAGGGAGGCGAGAGCACGCGCATGGAGGAGGGCGAGCTGTACGCCATCGAGACCTTTGGCTCGACCGGCAAGGGCTACGTGCGCGAGGACCTCGAGTGCTCACACTACATGAAGAACTTTGATGTGCGCCGCCCCGCCCGTCAACGCGCCTCCGCCGCCTCCGCTCCCGCCGCCTCTCCGCCCTCACAAGGCTACGCGGCGCTGCTCGCAGGTGGGGCACATCCCGCTGCGGCTGCCCAAGGCCAAGAGCCTGCTCTCCTTCATCAACAAGAACTTCGACACGCTCGCCTTCTGCCGCCGGTGGATCGACCGCGCCGGCGAGGAGAAGTACCTGCTCGCGCTGCGCAACTTGTGCGATGTTGGCATCGTACAGCCTTACCCGCCACTCTGCGACATCAAGGGGTGCTACACGGCTCAGTGCGCCGCCACGCCGCTCCCCACGCCGAGCTCGCACACACGCCGCCACCGCCCACGTGCCGCCCGGCCACGAACGTAGGTACGAGCACACGCTGATACTGAAGCCCACCGGGAAGGAGATCCTGTCGAGGGGAGACGACTACTAAATGGTTCTACAGGTCAACGGGGCAGGTCAGCCTCACACGCACGTCGACTAGTCCGCCAAATCTTTGCGTCTCTTCTCACTTCTGTGAGAATTTTCACGAGGCAGAGCTTGTCGTGAGAACTGCTGCTTATTTTACGCGTTCACTGCATACACACGATTAAACGAACCCCGTCAGTGCTTAGTGCTTTGATCTCATGACAATACGCGTTCGCGTAAAGGCTAGTGCCATTTCACTGTGGCACAGCTCGCGTTACAAAACCTTGATTTTGACCATTTGCGCGAAAAAGGTACATCTCGGTGCCTTCCAGAGGCAGCTGCGACCC